TGGCCTCTGCTTTAGGCAAACAAAATTCAGTGCATATAACTACTTCGCTACAGTTGTGAATAGCCTGCAGTTTTGTGTCCTGAATGAACTTGTAGCTAATGATAGTCCATGTGATCATGGTGACCAGGGCTTGTGACATTTTTGCTCTTTGAATCAGAAAGAAATGTTTCCCATTTAAAAATCTTAGCTACCGTTAGCCAGTTATCGGCTGCCAGTGAGTGGCAAAGGTTTGGGGACAGAGAAGCTTGTGGAAGCTCCTTCTATTTGCAAAGGTCTTTTAACCTTACAGTATGCAACATTCTTGTTGATAGGCTGGAGTGTATGTAAACCAATTGTGGTTGAATCAAATGGCATTTATTCAACTTTTTAAATTGTAAGAGTGATACACGATCACTGTAGAAATTTTGTGGAATAAAAGGAAAAGGATAGTAATTTTTTCCCCATATTGTCTCACAGAGAATAACATTAAATTTCTGGACATATTTCTTTCCAGTTTTTTCCTAGACATGGTCTTTTATGTAGGTATGATAATACTTAATATTAAATTTTGTAATATTAAATTTAGTATTTCATTCATGACATTTCTCTGTGTCATAGAAAAATCTTTGTAAACAATTTTAAATGGCCATTAATAGCTTACCAAATACATATAATTATATATATTCATAATTAAATAAATGAGAATTTAAAAGTACTAGAGGATCTTCCTCTTTAAAAGGAGTCCCATGTGATTCCTGTTCTACTTTAGTGGATATGGACTATATTCACAGCAGAACACAGTTACACCGACTTGATGGAAGGAAACACACACTGGCTGCTAAATCAGACTTAAGTGATAGAGAGAGTTCTTCCTACCTGTATCTTAATATTTTAAGCTTGCCCATTGGTATGTCTGCCCTGCATGTGTGTAGATGTAGCCATGCTTCCGTGAGACTACTGGTGAGTTTCCATCTGTCTGATCTCAAATTGTCAGAAGTGATAGGGGTAGGAGACTGGAGTGGTGCTTCCAGAGTTATTTTGCTTCTTGATGACAGCTGATGAAAAATATAGACAATAAACTGGGAGTCTTGACACTCTCACCACCCCTCTAGGCTAAAGGAGAAAAGCCTTGAGAGGCAATAAGTGTCACCTACAGTGGCTACAGTATTGAAAGTCTGTCTGTTTATATTGGATGTTCATTGGGTTTAACAGAACCCAAAAGATGCCTGCAGACAAGCTGTTTGCAGTAGATTTCTAAAATCTGTCCATGAGACAACCTTTGGAGAAAGAGCTGAAGGACTTGAATACATCCTAAAGAACATAGAGGAATAATATTATTTACCCTGTGATACTCACAATGGACAACATGACAGATGTGTAAATTTTGGTTCAGTTCTGCTTCATAAATATTTATTGACCACCGAGCTAGGCACTGTGAGAAACATATGGAATGTGACCCTGCAGTGATATGACTGATTAAAAAAAAATGAATTCCTGACTTCATATATTCAGGTATGTGCTGTTCTTTGAGAGGTTAAATATTTTTCTAGGGATTTTTTTTACCACTCCCAAATTTTCTTGCTGCTCTTAGAACTTGCCTTCAAGCCTGCAGCATATTTAAAAAAATGTGTGTGTATAATATGCATATACATGTATTTAATATAGATTTAATTTTTAAAGTTAGCCAAAGTTATCTAGTGCTAAGTCCTATGAATGAGGTAGAAGATCAATGTGGATAATATTCTGCTCATCCAAAAAGATGTGGGACTGTGGAAAACTGAGTTTGATTTTGGGGGTAAAGTTCATCAATTTCGAAGGAGGAGTTCCACTGATATTGTGCAGAATGCGGTATTACTGCCGTAAGTTTGTTGATTCTCTAAAGGGCCCTCAAGGGAAATACTCATTTAAATACAAGAGCTTTGAAGTGTTTATAAAAAGTTCTAATTTCTTAGCTAGAAAGCCACACCTATAAAAGGTTGTTAATCTTAAGAAATCTTCTGCCTTGCTAGGAAAACAATGTGATAGAGAGCAGGAGTTGGCATTAATTACTTGGTGCTGAAACAGGGCTGAGGTGGTCATGTGATACAGTCAGGAGGCTGGTGTGCCTGACCTGGCTCCCCTTTTCAGCTTTGCACCCACCCTCAAAGGTATAGGTTGTCTTCTTGTTGGAATCTCCCCTCTCCTTTTCCCTTTCGAGTTTTCCCTTGCTAGTTGTTTTGTCCAGATTAATTTAGGAGAAAAGGGTATTGAGTGTGTCTGTGTGTGTTTAGCTCCTCGGTTCCATGTTACTGCAGGAGTGATTCTGGAAATGGGAAGTGAAAAAAGGCAAACAATTAGCAAGAGTAGTTCAGGATGGTTTCTTGAAGTAGGTGAGTGAGACTAATTTGAACTAAGTTCTGGAGAACAGAGATGACATGCATTGCTTCAATGCACATGAAATTCAAATTTGTATAATGATGATACATTCTCTGTCTAATGCGTGGTAGCACTGTCTCCTACAATTGATTGCAAGACACTTGGGAAAAGGATGAGTGCTTCTGAATCTTTTGCATTCCTCACAGCACATAGCAGAGTGCAGGACAGACTCAGCCAGGCTCACCTCAACAGTCACCTCTTCTCTGAAATCTCCATGACCCTCCCCAGACAGAATTGTTACTCCCATATTTCCATCTCATGTTCCTTTAAACAAACCCTGTGTCTTAGTCAGCTTGGGCTGCTAGTAACAAAATGCCATAGGCAGGATGGCTTAAAGAACAGAAATTTATTTTCTCAAAATTCTGGAGTTTCGGAAGTCCAAGATCAAGGTGCCAGCTGATTCAGGTCCTGGTGAGGACTCTCTTCCTGGCTTGCAGATGACTGTCTTCTCAGTGTGTTCTCACATCACACAGAAAGAGAGCAAGATCCCTAACATCTCCTCTTATAAGGATACTCATCCTATTGGATCAAGGCTCCATCCTTATGACCTCATTTAACCGTCATTACTTCCTTTCTCCAAATACAGCCACACTGGGGTTAGGGCTTCAACATACAGATTTTGAGGAGACACAATTCAGTCCATAGCACCCTTGGAACACTTATTATATTGTATTATAGTAATTTGTGTCTGTCCCCAGTAGACTATGGTCTCCTTAGGTGCCAAGCACTGTGCTGGGAACCAAGAATCACAAAGATGGATCTTGCCCTCAAAGAGCTCTCACTGATGCAGCTTAGGTCAGTGCTCCCCTGGTGCATGAGGCTGTGGCCATAGCACAGTTAGTTCATGCCTTTGTATCATTATGACCACTCTGGCTTCATCCATGTGGTAGTTGGAGGAGTGATTCTTAGAAAAGGCATGCTGGGAAGACATTCTAATAGGGATCTACTTACCTTGGAGAAGATGATGCATTCAGGTTTGTTCTTCTTTTCTACTTTTTTTTTAAGTTTAGGTATAACTGATAATGAAATGAACAGATCTTAAGTGTTCAGTTCAATGAGTTTTGGTAAATGTACACTCAAGATATGGAACACTTCCATCACCTCCACAAAGATCTCTCATGTGTCTTACAGTCAATCTTTATTCCTCAAAGGCAACCACCGGTCTGACTTCTGTTAAAATAGAACACTTTTGCTTGTTCTAGAACTTCATATAAATGGAATCATACAATATGTACTTCGCCTGGCTTCTCTCATACAGCATATGCATCTGAGATTCCACTAAGCTGTTGCTGTATCAGAAGTCCACTCCTCTTTGTTGCTGAGAATCTTATTGTATGCTCATATCATACGTGTTTCTTCATTGACCTTTTGGTGGACATTTGGGTTGTCCTTAGTTTTTTGGTTATTATGGACATTTTTATACAAGTCTTTCTATGGTTAGAAATTTATAGCATGAAATGTTGAAACTAGAAAAGATGAGATCAGTTTTGAATAAATTGAGAAGCGCTTGTGGGTCATTCAGGCAGCGAGATCTAGGGCCAACTGGAATACACTCTAAGGCTCAGAGGAAGGAGGTTGGCTAGTAACTTAGATTCTGTAGTCCCTAGCCATTATGAATAGTTTAAAGCTGTGAGGAAGCCTTTAGGTAGACTAAAAGGCCCATGAGTTAAATCCTGAGGGATATCCGTATTTGAAAAGAGGACCCTCTAAGGAGGCTAAGAGAAACGTGACCATTTATCTTTGTGTCCCCAGGCAAAGGACCCGACACACAGTCACTTCTCAGTTTGCTAAATTTAACAGAATGGGTACAGAGGGCACGTTTATTGATGGAGCCTATAGGAGATAGATCAGGAAAAGAAATGGCATGTGGAGTCGCAAAGGACAGAATGAGCTTGGTAGGTTGAAGAGGGGGATTGTTAAGGGCTAAACGCGGACTCTACCTTTGCTTAGACCGGGCTGGGAGGACCCAGCTGTTAAAGATGATTAGAAAGGGTCAACCTACGCAGGGCCTGAAATGGGATGTCAGATGGAAGTATTTAGACCCGAAAAGGCCGGCTACCCTGAGAAGAGCCAGGCTTCTGGAGTGGGATGTTAGAACATGAGACTTCCTTTTGGGAGGGGCACTCTTAGGGGCGGTGCACTGGTGGCGACGCTGGCGACGGTGCTGAGCTGTTACTAGTGGTAGTGCTTTCCATTGGACTTTGGCTTTGTAGCTGCTGCAGGGGAACAGTGCCTCCGACTGCTGTTGATTTCATGTCATTTCCTGACTCTGCCTCTGAGCCTTGGTAGCACAAGACAGAGGCGGTGGCATCTGTCCGCAGCTGGGAGGCAGTGCGTGCGCGCCGGGCGGGGGATGTTTGGCTGGGAAGCCTAGGGCCGAGCAGCTGCCCAGCGCGGTGCGGGCGGGGTGGTCGCGGAGCCAGGCC